CACCATGTGGTCACCTCTGGGGCAGGTGGGAATCGAACTCATGCGGAAGTGGCTTTAGCTTCTCAGTGCTGTGCCTTAACCCGCTGCACCACCAGGGAGGGCCCATCATGGATACATTTTATATGAATTCTGATTTGTCTGCACATTATCTTTCACAAGATTATCAAGGAAGACAGAAAAGTTAAGGACCACCAGCCAATAGTAAAGTTCTTGTGGAGAAACCCCAGTTCTGGATCCTTCTCCTGGCTGTGTCCTTTAAGCACCTCATTCTGTATCTGGCAGGGACTGCGCACATGTGTTATGCCTGTAGGACATTTCATCTTGGTTTCTGCTATGACACCATGACTTCCTGCAACCTCAAGTACCAACAGTCCTGTGCCATCGAGAACATTTACATTCTTACTAAGAAAGGTAAATGGGGATTACCTCCTTCACCTTCTGTCCTTAGAGACAGTGGTATTCTTTTACCCTTAGAGTGTGTGGGTGAGAGGGGTGGGTAAAGATCGGACATGGCAAGGGTAAACTTTTCCATAAGACCATAGTGAGCTTGTGGTCCCTTATCAGTTAAGGAATAAAATCTGCCTTTTGGGCCAGTTGGGCCTAGAGAATAGTTAGTGAGGACCTGAAGAGAGGTTACTCATGGGAATATTGAGGGGAAACAGAGTCATGACACTTGTATTCCTCTATCTCCCTCCCCAGGGAGGAGTATGTATTTTTATTCAAGGCTGTCATGTATGTTCAACTGTGAGGACATCAACTTTCTATCTTTTGGCAAGAAGATTGAGCTTATCTGTTGCAAACACAATGACTATTGCAACATCCCTGAGGGAAGTTAGTTCTACATCTCTCCTGGATTTGGGGGTCATCCTTCAACTCACATTCTTTTTAGCTCTTCCCCCCAAACCTGTATTTGTTTTCTGCTTCTAACTCCTGATAGAAATGAGAAAGCTGACTGTTATTGCAAAGAGCAGTGTCACAAGGCGAAACGGGAGGATAGCTGAGTCTCGTTAATGGCAGAGCACGGGAGTGAACTTTTGAAAATTCTTAATGCTCACAGGTGGGTTGGGCTTCCTTATGATGGATAGATAGGATTGGATTTAGAAATCATTACTTATCTCCTATATGGAAATGCAAAGTCTTAGAACAAAACAACTCTAACCTTATACTGAGACTTGTGACTATATGTTATCCTCATTGACACCCACTTCTCTGGATTGGGATTCTCTTCAGAGGAACCCTGGCACCCAAGGCAACTTTCTCTTGGCCTATGACAGGAGTTGAAGAGGGTCAACTCCTATTTCCCCCTGGTTGTTCTCTGGAAGAACACTTGGGGGAATCTCAGTTCAGAAAAAAATGGGACAGGCTTAAGGATAAAGCATACAGGAAAATTTTAAGAGCATTCCAGTTGGTGGAAACTAAGTTGAAAGAAAATTTGGAATGGGTGGAATGGGCTTGAATTATCATGGCCTTGGTGACCAGGTATTTAGGCAGCGCATGACTGAACTGGGCCTGGTGGCCTTGTACAAAGAGGGCCGGTCAGTAGCTTCTCAGAATTGGCCTAGGGTGGGTGATAGGGAGAGTGTCGATTAAAAAAAGTAGGTGACATGCTGGACTATGGTGATGGCACACAGGTGATGGGAAGCCCACAGGGTTTACAACTGAAATGGAAAAAGGCACGAAATGATGTAAAAACAAACTATTATGTTAAAATTAAAAAAAATAGTACAAGATCAGATCTATTGATACATAGTCTTTGCAGCTCAGAAACAAAATAAAAGCATGGGTTGGAAGTGAAAAAAAAAAAAAAAAGTAGGTGACATGGTAGTTGAAGCTAATAGAATGTATGGAGATACCAGGAGGTGATATGCTGGTTACCGAATATCTTAGATAAGATCAAGGTACAACAAAGCAGAAAGTGTGAGAAAGCGGAAAGTCACAGTGGGGAAAAGAGAAGCAAGCAGACACTGGGTAAAACAGAGCACCACTGATGTGGAACTGTAAGCAAGATGGAGCGCTGTCCTGGAATATGGAATAACCCTAGCATTTTTCTCTTTGTGAGGCCTACTGTGCTTCTTGGCCAGGATTTCTATGAAGTATTTTTCCCTTTATTATGCTATGTGAAATGCATACAATAAACCAGTTACCCCTCTTCTTATGCTGTGTGAAATGCATACAATAAACCAGTCACCCCTCTTCTTGGCTTGGTGTATTCTGTCTCCTCTGTGTGAGAATATAATCCTGTCTCAGGAGTCCTAGTCATGATGGAGAAAGGCACAAAGACAACTAGTTCAAAATAGACAAGCAGATTAGCAAAGCCAATGGAATGAGGCTATCTTGAGGTAGGGTGAAAGGTAGTTTTATTGCTAGCTGGATGTGGGCTCACCCACGCATAGAATCATGGAGATAGTAAAGTGAGTCTAGGGCCTTCCTGGTGGCCTAATAGTTAAGTCTTAGCACCATCACTACCACTGCCTGAGTTCAAGCCCCGGCCAGGGAGCTGACCCGCATAGGGTGCAGCAGACCTCTCCTGTCTCCCTTGCTGTTCCCCTCAACAGTGTGTTTCAGTAGGTCTGTCTGCCTGTTCTGCTCCCCACTCTATTTATGGTGATTCCTCTCACCCTCTCACCCCCATACCTCTGGACTACACCCCAGTTCTTCTCTGAAAAAAAAAAAAAATAGTGAGTCTAGGGGGAAATAAAAAGAGAGATCAGTGTTTTTCCTTGGGGCTCAAAAGACTTGGCCTGCCAATCCTCTGTGATCAGTGCTTCTGCCTCAAGGATGCAGTGAATGTTTGTTGTGACAAACCTGAACTTGTTACAGCTCCAAGTGGTGGCCCTTGTCCAGGTCTGAGCTCCTATTGCAGGGCAAACTAGTTTCAGAATGTCTGGACTTTGCCACATGAGTCACTGTCTTCACTCCTTGAAGCCCTGGGCCCTTTTTCCCATTTCATAATGGGAAATAAATCAGGGCATAAATCCTTGTTTTGTTCCAAGGGCTCCAGAATTTATATTCAAGTAGCTTTTTTGCCCCATCTGTCCAATGCACATGTGATTGCTCTAACAGCCTGAGAAAAACCCAGCAGCATAAGAAGGAATTTCCTGAAACAGCTCGAAGGAGAGGCTTCAAGGCAAATCCCTCTCTCCTGGATCTTAGTCTAAGGTCCAGACAAATCCTCAGGAGAGGGGGTCATGAAGACATCTTTTGGAGGAAGCCTGGTGAAGAAGTCATTGTTGTGATTCTTTGTCAGATGATTACCCTCTTTTTTAACGAAGTTAAAAGAGTTAAACTCCGCTATGGTGGTGGCACAGGGGTGATTTGGTGATGGGAAACCCGTGGGAATTACAATTGAGATGAAAAAAAAAATGTGCAAAATGATGTAAAAATAAACTTTTTAATTAAAAAAAAAAAGAGTTAAACTCCGAACTGGGCCTGTGGTAGGAGCAGAGCAAGTGACAAGTAGTGATTGGGAATCCATATCTGATCCCAAATCCACATTCCACACCCGCCTCACCTATCAGACACCTCCCTGACCACCTCACTGAGAGGACACGGACCAGTTCTCCCTCTGCCTTTGCACTGTGGCACAATTCTAGTTCAGTCCTGCTTCTTAGGTGTAGAAGAAAGAGTCTGGCCTATGTCGCTTCTATGCCCAAGTCTGACCATTCAGTCTGCAAGGCCTTACTCCAAGGTTGTGGATGGCTAGAAAATTAGGAGTGTTAAAGGAAGCTGACTGGGGTGGGGATGGATGGAGGTGCTGAGCATGAGTCAAAACTTTCACTCCATTGTCATCTGACCCAGGCCTGCAGGCAGCACTGGGGTCTGATCCAGTGTGCTAAGGGGATCTAGAGTGTGAGGCAGGTCTCAATATCAGGAGAACTAGCTGACCCGTTCCCCACTTCCCCTTACAGGCCTAGGAGTGGGGCAGGCTAGGTGGGAGGGAGAAGAAACTGTTGTGGAAAAGAAACTGCTGTCAGCCCTCCTCTCTCCTGCCCACATCAAGCTCTGACAGAGCCCAAGTCTCAGTCTGTCCCTGACTCACCTGGGACCAGGGACTCCACTCTCAGGTCTCCCCCCTGCTGTGTGGGGCTAGAAGTAGTGCTTGCTTGAGGTGAGGGGCTGAAGAGGGTCTTGCTGAATGCAGGCAGTGCTCCTTGGGGAAGTTTTGTTAGTATTTTGATTCTCTCTGCAGCCTGTGCCTGTCACTGTCCCCCTGCAGGGTTAATGCAAACCCAACTTTGGGCTGACTGCAAAGAGCCCATTTGGTCTCAATCCATTGCCTTCCCCTCCCTCTGTGGGGATGGAGGCAGGTGCAGCTGGTGCCCTTGGCATGACAGGAGCAGAACAGGGCAGAACAGCATGTCCCACCTAGTGTACCCACACCCCCACCCATCCAGGAAAGAACAACAAGGGGTGGGAAGGCCTTGGGTAGGAGCCAGGGGTGGATGGGAGACAGCACGGCTCTGGGTCCCAGGAGCAGGCTGGCAGAGCTGGAGGCTCAGACACAGGGAAGAGCTGGCTGGCCTGCATGTCCTTCTGTGGGAGGAGAGGTGGCCCCTGGAGCCCGAGGTCTGCCTGTGACCCCCACTAAGACCCCGGGAGGAGGGGTATTGACAGACTAAGTGGAATCTTCTGGCTGAGTCTACGAGACAGGCTCCACATCAGCGTTTAGGAAGGGCTTAACTGGGGAGCAGCTCCCGATTCTGCCCCATTCTGGGCCTCACATGCCAGGGGGAACGGTGAGGTACAAAGACAGGGTGCAGATTTCACAACAGAAAATCAGAATATGGGGCCCTCCCTGGTGGCACAGGGGGTTGGAGTGCTGGACTACGGAGCTAAGCCGAGCAGTGGTGGCTTCAGTGTGAGTTTGATCGCTGGCCCCGGAGGTGACCCACATGGCGCAGCAGACCTCTCCTGACCCACCCGCTGCTCCCTTCAGTCGATCTGTTCTGCTCCCCACTCTGTCTCTGGTGAATGCTCTCGCCTCACCCCTGCACTCTGGCTTGTACCCCAGCTCTGTATGCACAAATAAATAAATCTTTGAAAATAAGAAAATCAAAATATCACATACATCAACTACAAATATTTGACATAAATGTTAAAATTAGATTGTAAAAGTATTATTATTGAAGATAAGGATTTTTCTCAGGTGTGGGGGCACAAAGGGAATTTCATTTATTTCTTAATAAGTGGGATATACTTCTAAAGTTTCTGTACTACTAGTCTGAGAAAATGTTCAAAATTGTCTGGAAAGACTATAGGAGGAAGACTCAGGCTGCACAGAGCCTGCACTCCCGCCCACAGTGTGATCCAGTTGTCCAGGTCCCAGTGCAGAGCGACTCCCCAGGAAGAATAAGACCTTTGCTTGGGGGCATAAAGTTGGTACTCTTAGCTCAGACCCACTGGGACTTACACCCAAGGATGGCTGCCTCTGTCTTACTTGTCCCAAATGTGAGGCTCAGGAAGGCGATCCCCATGGGAATGACATCCCAGACTGCAGCCTGTAAATCCTGGGGCCCCTGGTGTGTCGGTGAAAGCTTGATCATGAACACAGCCCTGCCAGTCAAAGGGATTCCTTGTCTCTTTTTAAATGGACACAGACTTTCCTCCCCACTCCCTCTTTGTCAGCATCTGATGTCTTACTTTTGTCTTTTTCTGGAATAGGCAACATTCTTCTTTAATGATGTCAGGAAGGGTACGGGAAGGGCTGGGAGGCTCCTGCGTGGCCTCTCTGGAGGGGTCCGTGGGAAGCCTCCCAGTCAGGCCATCGCACTCAGGTGAGAGAGGTCAGGTGAGTCATTGGATTGGGGAAGGCTGGCAAGCCCCATGTCCCCTTTAC